AATTTTTCTTTATTTTTTTGGGAGGGGAGGGGCAGAGGGAGAAGGAGAGAGAATCTTAAACAGGCTTCACGTCCAGCCCAGGGCCTGGCCCCGGGCTTGATCTCACAACCCTGAGGTCATGACCCGAGCTGAAATCAAGAATGAGATGCTTAACTGACTGAGCCATCCAGGCGCCCCCCAAATCATTCTGTTGTTATATCTTACCCGTGAATGTAGGCAGAAGGCAAATATAAACATGGAAACTGAGAAATAACCAATTAAAAGGAACAGGATTATTTTTGACCTGAAAACCTTACTGGGATGGTGATCCTGGTTTAGAAAGATCTAAAAAAATTACTTATGTCACACTTAAAGTGATACCAATTACATACTGTATGGTTCCAACTGTACGACATTCTGGAAAAGGCAAAACTATGGAAATAGTAAAAAGATGAGTGGTTGTTAAGGGTTGGAGGGGTGATGAATAGGCAGAGCACAGAGGATTTTTAGGGCAATGAAAGTACTCTGTGTGATTCCATAATGATGGATATATGTCATTATGCATTTGTCCAAACCCATGGAATGTATGACACCAGGGGTGAACCTTAATAATGTAAACTATGGAGTTTGGGAGATTATGGTGTGTCAATGTAGATTCACTGATTGTCATACACGTACCACTCTAGTGAGGGATGTTGATAATAAAGGAGGCCGTGCATGGATGGGGTTAGGGGGTATGTGGAAAAGTCTGTACCTTCTTCTCATTTGGGCTGTGATTTTAGAACTGCTCTAAAGAATAAAGTCTTAATAAGATAGATGTCAACTTAAGTATTATTTCTGGGGCAACAAATGCTTTCAGCTTCTGCCTCAGCAAGGTCTTCACTCTCAGCCTAATTTGAGTCTCATGTCTGCCCTCAAGCCAGTGCTCCTTGTGCGAAATACTGGCGAAATGCTCTCTTACCCTTTACTAGGTCTGTGCTCACAGACTTCACATCTTGAAATCAATTTGGTCTACCTGAGAGCCCTATAAAAAGCCTATCTACTTATTTATAGACTGTTAATGAAGCCATTTAAAAATGCTTTTTATTATGGAAAATTTTAGTCACTTAAGGAAGTAGACAGAAGCCCTCAATACTTTACGGAAGTATAAGGGACCTTGTGTACCTATCATCAGCTTCGACAATTACTAATTCATGGCCCGTTGTGTTTTCATCTAAACTCCCATTCATTTCCCCTCCACCTGTATCATTTTGAAGAAATTCCCAGGTATTATATCAATGAAGGTTTTTGCTTTAATTTAAATCAGCAGAATTGTGTATGCTTGCTTTATGTAGGTTAAATGTATTTACTATATAATATACTTTGTGTTCTCAAATATTATAACTTTCTATTTTCTCCACTGTGGGAATTATGATAAATTCAAATTTTTATTTCATATTCATTAATTTAATTTTTTTATTGAGGAATAATTGACATACAGTATTGGATTGGCTTATTTACATTAACAGAGAGTAACATGGTTCAAAATGCAAAATATTTAAAAGGGCATCCATAAAAAGTAAGTCTTCTTTTCTTTCTGTCTTCCTTTCTCTCAGGAGGCAGCCATTGTGGCTGGTTCTCATATGTTTGTTCATAAATATTTTATGCATGTATAAATGTATGTGTGTGTGCATGTATAAGGGAGAGAATGGTATTTATGGTCTGATCTTGCTTTTTTCATATAGCAATATGCATATATTCATATAGCAATAAGGACATCTTTCCTTAACAGGACTTACAAAGCATAGAGCTGCCTAATTGTTTTTAAAGGCTGTATAGCATTTCATTTAATGATGCTACTATAGTTTGTTTAGCCTACTTTGGTGATGCACGTGTAAGTTGTTTTCAATCTTCTGCTGTAATATCTATTTTCTAAATGCCAAATCTCCACCACATTTTAACATTTTTATTTTATTTTATTTATTTGTTTTTAAAGATGTATTTATTTATTTGAAAGAAAGAAAGAGAGAGAGAATGGTGGGAAGGGGCAGAGGGAGAGGGAGACTTAAGCAGACTGTGCTGAGTGCAGACCCCAAAATGGGGCTTGATCTCTCAACCCTGAGGTTATGACCTGAGCCAAAACCAAGAGTTGGTCGCTTAACCGAGTCTACCACCCAGGCACCCCTCTGGCACATTTTTTAAATTGAATGCCTTGTAATCAGTGTTTTAGTTACATTCTGATTTTCTGTTTCTACCTATTCTTCATTCTAGTCTCTATGCCCTAATTGCCTGTCTTTTCCCACCCACAGCCTCCTCAACATGTTTTTTGATGTGTGATTAAAAGGGCCATACCTTGCTCTTAGGGCAGTGAGAACAGTGAGGATCAGGATGCTCAACTTTCTGTGGCTCAGCTGAAGTTAGCTGAGGTCAGGGAGCCCAGCCCATTATAGGATAGTAGAGCTGGGTAATTTAAATTCAACCCTCTCATTTCATGGTAAACTGAGGCCTCAGAAAATTAATAACTCAGTTCCCCAGAACCCTTAAAATTTCTTCTTACTCAGAGAAAAGAGTCACAAAAAAGACTGAAAAAAAATCTAGATATGTGGCTTCAGTATTTAAGGAGTTAAAGAGGAGAATGTACAGTTGACATCATTGGGAGAAAAGGAGGTTGTTATGTGTATACTCTGCCCTTATTCACATAGCACCTCCAGCAAAATAGGAGAGGTAGAACTCCTCCTTTTCACTGAGTTGCCCTTAGTGTTCAGATCATGACATCTTTTTCTTACTCTAAGGCTCTCCTTAGATGCTCTTGATACCTTATTTCTCCTGAACAATAGCAACAGCAGCAACAGCTCACACTTACAGAACACCTACTGTGGGTCAGGCACTGTCCCAGTGCTTTACACATGTTCCCTTAATCCTTACAACCATGATGGAGCTACTACTATTACGAACGGAGAAACTCAGAACAGAGAAGAAAAATAACTTGCCCGAGGTCACAGCAAGTAAGTGGCTAAGCTGAGATGTGGATTTGGTCTGGCTCCAGAATCTGATTTCTTAAGCTTGATGCTATACTTCCTCTGAATAGCAATGTTGGGGAGAAGAGGAGTACAGGTGATTTGGACCAGTTTACAGATGTCCAAATTCTTGCCCTAGGAAGGGGGACCAGGAGTTGGATGGGTCTGGGGTTCTAGGAGCTTGAGCTAGGTCTACCTGGGACAGTACCGCTCAAGGACTGACAGGGACAAGCCAAGAAAGATCATAAAGGAAGCCTCCAGGCAGGGAGGTGAAGTAAAGTCAGGCACACAGTCCAGCCAGAGGATTTACCTAGGGGAGCTGGGTGGAAACTAGAGACATTAGGGAAGAATAAATGGGTTTGCATGGTGGGAAAGAGCCTATTCTAAGAGGGAGATTTTCTGAAATGCTGCAGTCCAATATCAGGGCTTTGGACCTTATGTGGGTAAGTGTGGAGAAGAAAATTGTTTCCTTTCTGTTGCCTTCACATCCCACATAGTTAATGCTGGAAAAGAATGGTGTTAGGGAATTGCACATTAGAGGCTAATCAGGATTTACACAAAAAGAAGAAAAAAATATTCACAAAGATGGGGAGAGGGGAGGCACTGCTGTCCTAGTTGTCTGTTGGCTGGGTCCACATCAGAGAAATAGCTGGGGCAGAGATTCTTCATTTGGTCATATCTTTCATGCACCTGGGAGTGTCCCGTTTTCTGTCTCCAGTAAATGTGAAGACCAAAGGAACAAGCTAGATTGGGAATTGATTTATGCTTTCATCATTTAATTATATAATTGAATAATTAAATGTTCATTAGGTACCTACTATGTGCCAGACACTGTTCTAGGATTTTGGACATATGCAAATGAGCAAGATGGACCAAGTCCTTGACCTTATGGGGCTCACAGTCTAGAAAGTAATTGAAAGAAATGAGCTTGCATAGTGGCTGAAAGTGCAATCTCTGGGATCAGACGGCCTGGTGCAAACCATGGCTCTACCACTTACTTATTGTGTGACCACTCTATGCCTCAGTTTCCTCACTTATGAAAAGTACATGATAGAGTTATAAGGATTAAATGAGAGAATGCATGCAAAACATCTATGATGGGCCTGGCACTTGTGTTAATACACAGTATTATTTATCCCAAGACTAGAGGCTTAGTCTTCTCTTAGAGTCTTTGGCTTATGGCTCTTGACAGTTCACCTCTTAGATCATCTTTGTTTGCTCACTACCTGAGTGGAGCTGCAGGTTGGGAGAGCTTCCGTCTTCCCCAGTATCTCCATTCAAGAAGGATTTCCTGTAAGCTTTAAACTTGGCCAGTCACTGCAATAAAAATTTACAAATTATGTAATCTGGTTGGTGCCCAGCCCAAAGTTTTGGATTATTCTCGTCAGAGTGGGAAAATGTTGGGGAAAGGAAAAAGAAGTGATATTCACTCCACATGATTTTTACAAAGTATTCTGCATGAATATTCAAGACCCTCGCCAGCATCAGTCACAGCAGAGAAAGGCTGGCCTAACATTTGCTCTGTAGAGTTTTTTTTTTTTTTTCTCCAGACAATTTTATGTAAAATATCTACTTTTTAAAAAAGGAAATTAAAGATGATTTGAGTTGCTAGGAAAAGGATATACGAAGCCACAGTGTGCTTTGATAATTCTGTGTCTGAGTGATTACGAATATCTCAATGCTTCCAGATTCTACAGAGTTCTTTGTCGGGAAATTGCAGAATCATTCATTCCTTATATACACCATTTTAAGAACAAACCTGTCATGGACAAGCTTTTGCAAAGGAGAACTATTTAATGACTAGACTAATTAAGAATGTTTACATATCAAATGTAAAGCTTGAGAAGGATCCTGGAAATAAAAAAAAAGAAAAATCCTGTTAGTGGGGATCAAGGCTAGAGTCAAGTTGGCTTTCAGATTGGCACATGCTGGCTTTTAGATTGAAACCTTGTTTCTTGATCTGATCAGAGCATAGTGTAGGCCCTAAGGATTGCTCAAAAACTTTTCTTTCAAAACTCTTCCCAGATTCCGTTTATCTCAAAAGAGAAGAAACAGACTGATCTGCATTCTGCAACTGACTTCCCCAGAGCCTCTGCAGTGTGAAGATTTGAAATTGACTTTCCCTCGAGGATGTTTCTTGGATGCAGGAGGGGAGGAAAAGTCAGCTAAGCCAAAGCATCTTTAAAGATCTCTCGGAAGCAAGATACAAACTGTGCTCTTTAGACAATACATTTCCAGTGTTCTAGCCATGACCTTCCCTACTTCAAGTGAATACGAATGAAAATCAATTCTTCTCTCAGTAAGAAACAGAACTTACTGGGATTAGGAGGTAGGTGAAAAGGGAATATGAAATCTTTTCAGGGGTTCTCGGATCTGCTAAGCAAATTCTGCCCATGGGAAAAAGAGCCAATTTCCTATATTTTAAAGAGAGTGGCTAACAGTATATTTACCTCCAGCTTGGAATTCAAGAAAATTTAGGATTTTGTTACAAAATGGACATCCAGAGGCCTCTGAACATAGAAGTACATCTTCTTCAGCAGGAACCGCACACTTCATTCTGATCATGTTTATCATTATTTTGACAGTCATGATGTTGAGAAAAGCCTAAGTATTGGATTGGATAGACCTGGGTTCAAATTCTCACTCTGTCAATGATAGCTCTGTGTTTCTTACCTCTATGAACCTCTGTGAACCTCAGTTTCCTTATTGTAAAGTGGAGATAATACCTCTCAGAGTTTATCTGATAATTAAATGTGTTTACTATGTGAGGCAATTAATGCAATATTGGCACTCATTTGGGTATCCCCATATGGTGTGCACTCTCTCTCCCTCCTTCTCTCTCTCTCTCGCTCACACACACATACACACACACACACACTCCTAATTTCCTCTCCTATCCCCCCTTGCTTTCTCTTTCATTTGCTCATTCTTTAAGGCTCAACTCCTATCTCCCTCTTCCTGGCCCCTATTTTCTACAAAGGTTTCTGCTTTTTCTAGTACTCATGGTTTAGTCTACGACCCTCAGGAGTTTATTATTTGACTAATGTGGTAAAACCATAATTTTAATAGTCCACAGCACCCCAAATTTTGAAGGACACATAGTTTATAATAAAATTTTACTGGTTCATCGTATTATTTATTGCAGATAGTAATCCCTTGAATTTCTTCTTTTCTCCAGGTTGATCTGGTGACATCATTAATAGTATTTGTAGAGTAACTATATGGTTTACATATATTGACTCAGAGCTTCAGAAGCACTCTGTGAGGCAGGTATTATTATCCTCATTTTGCTAATGAACTAACAGGGGGTCAGAGATTCTCGATAACTTGTCTGAATTATATGCTGGGTGGGTAGTTAGGATTTAAATTCTGGTCATTCTGATTCTAAAGTTTAAACTCTTTTTGCCATGTTATATGATATTTCCATTAAGTTTCTTTCTTTCTTTTCTTTCTTTTTTTTAGAGAGAGAGAGACAGACAGCACGCACTGTGCGCGCACACACGGGAGCTCATAAGCAGGGGCAGAGGAGCAGAGGAAGAGGGAGAGGGAGAGAATCCCAAGCAGACTCAGTGCTGAGCACAGAACCTGACATCATGACCTGAGCATAAATCAAGAATTGGGTGCTCAACCGACTGAACAACCCAGGTGCCCCTCCATTAAGTTTCTGATGAAAATTTGTTTAGGGTTTTTCAGTCATGGCTTTTGAACTGAGTACAGTTTCTTTGTGAAACACTGTTTATTACTAAAAAAGGCCATTCCTAGGAACAGCTCCAGCTCTCCCCAGTGGCCTTTCCAATGTAATTCTGGGTCCCTATGAGCAATGGAAGAAGATGCTTATATTCTTCTATTCAAAGGTTTCAGGTGACATTCGGCCTCCTGTCCATGCTCTGCCCTTCCTGTCATGAGCACCACTGCACAGCCAGCATCTTTGCTGAAGTGGCAAGAGAGCACTGTAGAGAGTTACATATGTGCCTACGGCATCTGCAAAAAGAACCCAACAAGACACCCATATACAAATAATTTGCTTTTTAAATACCCATTTTTCCCCTGCTATGAAACTTTGATAAATACCTTGGGGAAGATGTGAACACATCTGTCTGGAGAATCCAAGTGGCATTTTTTTCCATTCTTAAAATCGTGAGAGGAACAATGCTATTGCAAGTAAATTCAATTTTTTCCCCACAAATGAGCAGTATTTTCTCTACCACAGTGCTTTCCAATTATGTTGAGTAGCTTCATGTTCAATAACAACAGAGACTCCCAAATTGAGTGCTGTGGCCAGAAGCTGAAGTTCAATAATTTTGGTAATAGATTTTTCCCTTCTTAAATGGATATGTAAACATCATATTAGAGTTTTGGAGGATAGAAATTACACATTTTCCCCTAGACCCTATAATTTCTGCTTTGGACAACGATCTGTGATTTTCTATTATATTTCTAACTTTCCTATTATTTATATTAAAAGAAGACTTGGTGGTAGAATTGTGGTTTCTGTTTCCTTTTGGAGGATAACAAGTTCAATAGGTTGGGCAAATTATTTAAGTGTTTAATGTTGTTCTCTTTGCTGTAGATTGCCATAAATTGCTATAAAATTTTGGGAAAGATGATTCATAATCTTTAGCCTTTTTTGGTGCATTTGTCAGAGGGCCGAAGAAATATATTTACTAGAATGAAGAAAGGGAGACATACAGAAGAGAAACATGTGAGCAAGGCACTATAGAGTCAAGTTTCATCTTTCAGTGCAATAAATAGCACATAATCAAATCAGATTCCCAATGTTTGGTGCAAATTATATAGGGAGACTATTTATTTAATGTATTTCTCAATTTAGTTCCTAATTTTAATTTTTTTTTTTTAAAGATTTTATTTATTTATTTGAGAGAGAGAGAATGAGAGACAGAGAGCATGAGAGGGAGGAGGGTCAGAGGGAGAAGCAGACTCCCTGCCGAGCAGGGAGCCCGATGCGGGACTCGATCCCGGGACTCCAGGATCATGACCTGAGCCGAAGGCAGTCGCTTAACCAACTGAGCCACCCAGGCGCCCCCTAATTTTAATTTATCTTTTAGTTGGTTTAGTTGTATCCTCAAGTAGGAATTTTTGTTTGGTTTTGGAGATTTTGTGCACCTGACCATATCTTTATACATTTAAGACAAATGATCTGGGGAGCACCTGGCTGGCTCAGTCAGTAGAGCATGCAACTCTTGGTCTCTGGGTTGTGAGTTAGAGCCCCAGGTTAGATGTAGAGATTACTTAAAAATTAAAATCTTGGGGCGCTTGGGTGGCTCAGTCGTTAAGTGTCTGCCTTTGGCTCAGGTCATGATCCCAGGGTCCTGGGATCGAGCCCCACATCGGGCTCTCTGCTCAGTGGGGAGCCTGCTTCTCCCTCTCCCTCTGCCTGCTGCTCTGCCTACTTGTGCTCTCTCTCTGTCAAATAAATAAATTAAAAAAAAAATCTAAAAAAAAAAAATTAAAATCTTAAAAACAAAAATAAAACAAGTGATCTGGATACCAAAATAGCTGAGTCACTAAATTTTTCCTTCAAAATACAATTTAGGGGAGCCTGGGTGGCTCAGTCAGTTAAGCCGGTTCAGGTCATGATCTCAGGGTCCTGGCATGGGGCTCCCTGCTTAGCAGGGAGCCTGCTTCGCCCTCTCCTTTGCCCCTCCCCCATGCTTGTGCACTCTCTCTCTTTCTCTCAAATCAATCAATCAATCAATCAATCTTAAAAAAAAAAATACAATTCAGTGTTAACTCTTAGGCCAGCCTAGCTTTTGCTCATTGTAGGTAATCTGTTTTTTCCTCTTGCCTGAAAGCTTTTAGGATGTTTTCTTTATCACTGTAAACCAAAATATTTGTCAGGATGTGCCTGGATCTGAGTCTGTCTCTAGTGATTCCTCCTGGACCATGGTGAATATGTTCATACTGCATTCTCAGGCCTAAGTTTTTGTTTTCAACAAAGGAAAATTTTCTTTGATTCTGTCCTTAATTATCAGTGTTTTAACATCAGAAATCTTTCCCTGTGGTTTTTTTTAATAGTTACTGAGTTTACCTAAAAATATAGTAAACTTATTCTTAGTGGCCCAGGGAAATTTTATTATCCATATCATGAGACAATGTGATGCTTGAAAAGAGTACTTTTAAAGTGTATACAGCTTACAGACCTTTCCCAAGTAGGGAGGAGGGGGCTGTATTTTTTTTTTTTTACCGTATTTTTCAGTCATATTCTTTTTGAATATGCACGGCACACAATACCTAAGGGTGTTTTTCTCTTAATTTTGGAATCTAAGATAGATCTTTTGCTTCAGAACACCCAAATGGTATAACTTTAATGCTAGAAGGAAATCTAGGTCCTTAGGGACAAGAAGACTAGGTGTGGGTGCATGGGTGGAGAGGTTGGTTAGCAATTAGTAAAACCAATAAAAAGAGTAAAAGGAAATGCAGAATTAAGCTATTTTGATTTCATGATGTCCAAATGTTTACTGGGAAATAAGCTGGGAAGAGTCATTACTTAACTGCATACTTTAATTTTTCTCTTTTATAACAAGCTTATAGTGCTGTAACAATATATATTAATAAGAATTTTGTTCCAGTCGCTCTGTTGTGTTGATTGGGGACCTGTATAATTCCTAGCTTCGCTCACCATTCTCTCTTCGCTGTGTCTTTTATTTGTTCATCAAACTCATCTTTTTGTCCCTTCCTTAATCAGGAACTGTTAATAGCAACATAAGGCCATGTAGAATTAAGTGTAAAACTGAGAAGAGCAGAAAAGGAGAGGTGAAAGTAAATTCAAAATATTAGGTTAGAAAGTGTAACATGTGGTCTAGCCCTTTAAGCATGTATAGGATTGAACAGAGTTGAAGAGGCTTAGGGTGACACTTAGGCAAATATCTGACAGAGAAAATGCTGAAGAGAAGTGGTATCACCCATTTGGGTAATTTCCAGGTATAGGCATTTTGTGCATGGCACTGTTTCATAGGCTGAGTCCAGTGGGTTTTATTTCTGACTGCTAAGGAGACCTCAGAGATTTTTGAGTGGGGATGATGGTGTCACGGAAATGGCAATAGGCTAACACTTGTGCAGTGTGAATCAGAAAAAGGAGAGAGGGAATAAGACCAGTACCGTAGGGCAGATGGTATTGGTAGCAGCAGCGTGAGGCCCCAGATTTACTGGTGTTCAGAGGCCACCGGAGGGCTGTGAGTCAGGAAATTGAGATAGAAATGGGAAAGCCTGGAATATTAGTGCTCACGATTAAGTCCCAGAAACCTGGATGCTGGACAAAGTTGAAAGAAGGGACCAAAACTCGATGGTCAGTGTTATCAATAGTATACCTTATCAATAGTATATGGTAGCAATGGACTGACTCCAAGGCATCTGATAGGATCCAGATCAATGTACCAGGACTGATCTTTAGGAACCCCTTCCGATCTGTCCCTTAGTTTGGCCCAAGGTTACTGCTTCACTGGAGGAAGTATTACTTGGATCCCTTTTGATCCCAAATGAAACACAAATGATAGGACACGAAGAGACAGAGACCTGTCAGAGGGTTTTGTTTTCTATTTACTTCCTGTCTGAACATGGGATTCTTCAACTTTCTGAAAAGTCTTTGCCCTGAACTGACATGGTTTGAAGAGAATGGACATGGACAAGTACATGGAAATGCATTTCTAGCAATGCTACCAATGTTCTGCAGTTTCTCCTTGGAGAGAGGGAGGGAGGGAGGCAGGGAAGGGCAGAGAGAAAGAGAGAGATTGGTGGGAGAATGAATTTCTGCCTCTTTTATTTCCCTTATGGCAGAAATTATAGACCTTTGGTGACAACCACTTATAACATTCTTTTCCTTATTTGATCACTATTGTTTAATAAAATCCTGAAAATTGAAAGATGCATGATTTCTAAAGAAAGAGTCCTGTAACAGATTTAAGGGCATTACAAATTCTTTTTTCTCAATTCAGATATACAGCTTACCTTTTAGAAGGCATAGAGGCATTGGCTTAAGGACATTGAAAAAGGACTTCCAGTTAAGCATGAAGGATTGAACATTTCCATTTATCTTTGCACCCTCCTAACCCCCCTAAAATGAATAAAAAATATATACTTATTTAAAAAAATGAAACAAGAGAAGGTGACAACCCAGGAAAGAAGTCAACAACATTTTGGAAATGGAATGAGGATGGAATAGTAGAAACTGAACTGGTTAGCCTGCGGTATTAAAGCCTGAAGTGTTAAGCCAGTGAGAGAAAAGGAAAATTATGTCCTAAAATCTAGAAAGG